TTTACAATGTTCTATCGATACAAATTCTTTGTCTGCTTCCTCCTCTTAAAATGTAAAATCTCTGAACTTTATATACCAATTTGTCTAAAATTAGCTTCTATTTGTTTAAATATCTGTTTATTTCCTGTTCTGGTAATCACATTGTTGTTTGTGATTGTTTTTCTGCATATATTTGCTAGTCTTCTTTTTATAGCTAATTAAGTTTTTTCATTATTTAATTCTTTAATTTTTGATATCATTAAATTCCAAAAATCTTTTTATCACAGTTTGGTTTTTATCTTTCTTTGTTTTTTCCTCTTCTTGTTTTTATAATTTTTCTAATATTTTGTCTCTTTTCTTCTTGTAGTTTTATCAAAAAACTTTTTATCTTTTCCTCATTGCTTTTTTTATTGTTTATCTTGTCATCATTTTAAGGTGTATATACTTGTTCTGGCTGTACACTGAGTTCTATCTTATTAGGCACTTGGGGCTTGGCCGGTCTTCTACTTTGGTGCGCTATATACTTGGCCCAAGTAGATATTTTTCTCTTATATATTTCCTCTTTTCTTTTTGATATTCGTGGTCTCTTGTACGAGTAGGTTAAGGACTTATCTTCACTGGTATTGCAAGTAATAGACCTTGCTTGTTGTATTCTTGAAATAAGGGTCTTGCCAATTCTTTTCTTTTATCATTTTCAAGTTTATATACTTAGAAATCAGTAGTTTTTAATTAAGTTTGTGCCTTAGATGCCTCGACACAGAAAAGAAAGTTCGGTCAATAGTTGCTTGATTACTTTGAATAACCAAGTTGTAAACTTAGAAACAGAAGTAGCTGCAAGAAATCTTTTAGTTTTGGAAGCAATTAGCGAAAGATTTTTCAAGAGACTTGGCTTAGGATAGTTATTACCGAAAGAGATAGGTTAAGAACTTGAATAGCAAATTTAGAAATTGAAGTTAAAGAATTAAGGAGTAGAATAAGAAAATACGAAAATAAAAATTATTTTTGTAATATTTTGTAAATAGTTAATAAAATTTTGAAATCTAATTCTAATAATAATTGTAATAAAATATTGAAATTAATAAAATTTGTAAAGTTAATAAATATATAACTAATTCTAAAATCATAATAAAGTAATAAAAAATAAGTTATTATAAATAATAAAATTTTAACGAATAATAAAATTGTAATAAATAATAAAGTTGTAATAAATAAAATTATAACAAATAAAATTATAACAAATAAAATTATAACAGATAAAAGTATAATAAAATATAACAAAGAAAAATAAATAAATAAGAAAATAAAGGGGATGCTAGAATACCGGAACCTAAACTGAATTCTGTTCTTCAGATTTAAAAACAACAAATAGGATCTTTGCTAGAAATTTTTTTTCTAAAAATAGATTTATTATGTTTTTCTTAATAAAAAACTTGTATAACAATGGCTTGTAGGGTTATTTTGCTAGCAAAGATCCCAAATGATAAAAAGAAAATAAAAATAAAAAAATAAAAATTAGATTAAAGCGATTATCAATTATAAAGGGTCAAAGAAAGTTAGAAAGAATGTCTAAGAGTAATATTCAGAGAGAATTTAATTTGTAACTATATTAATTTATATCAATTTATATCGATTTATATCGATTTATAACATTTTACTTTATTTTTTTTATCAAAACAATTTTATCACGAAACTAACTTTGTAAACAACTTGCGTTATATTATGCGTGATATAATAATATAGGCAAATCGGTGTTATATGGGTGCCACTAAGAATACTTGAGTCACTGGGCTTTCAATTGTATTTTGTACTGGTACAAAATACAATTGAAAGCCCAGTGACTCAGATATTCCTTTAGCGACACTCATATAATTGTATTGAGTGTAATATTATTTAGATCTGTGATGAAATTATGCAATAAGCGATAAATCTCAGAACATCGTCATTATAAGTATAATAACCAAAAGTCAACAGATAAGTATCTCTCTTTCATTTATGTTATATTTTTCATTATTTGATTTTAAATTTAATTAATTTAATTAACTCTTGCAAAATCGTTACAATTATATAAATACAATAGATTTCTAAGGTTTGAAGGTAAATTTTTGAAAATTCTTTTTTTGTAATTTTGAATAATGGAAAACTTATCTTCTACTACCCCTACTCAACATACTCGTTCTCAATCGGTTTCTGATATACCACATAATACTACTGACCCTACACAACCCCTATAACTACTCAATATGATCGTTCTCAATCGGTTTCTTCTAATGCACCATATAATACCACTGACCCTAAACAACCACCTCTAACTACTCAATATGATCATGCTCAATCGGTTTTTTCTAATGCACCATATAATTCTGCTGCTCCTCAAACACCACCATATAAATCTGCTAATTCTCAAACAATATCTAACAACGCTAACTCTCAAAAACAACCTAATAATACTTGTTATAACAATAATTCAGATTCATCTACAAAAAGTATTTTAAGTGTGCAATCTATTTTTTCAAAAATGAGTGGAAGAGGCTGACAACAAACACCTCAACGTCAACCATCTTGTCAACAACCATATCAACAATCTCGTCAACCTTCTTAAAAACGCTCGCCTCCTCATTCTCGTCATATAATACCTAATAACGATTTAAATCATTTATTATCACCATAGATTTCACCTGATCAAAAGCATAGAAGAAGATCACATGATAGAAGATCATCCAACCAAGATGCACCACATTAATAATTTTTTCAATATATAAGCTTTTTTTTTTTCTTTAATGCTTGAGTTTTATTTTATTTTTTTTATTATTGAGAAGTTTTTTTTTTGATTTTCGATAAAAACAAAAAAAAAAACCATCGACACCACTGGCAAGAATTTGAACAACTTTACGCACAGAATCACCAGTTGTACTTATTATTAAAACAGCTCAATGAGAACATTCAAGGAATAGCCGCTGAACTAAAAAGGAAATAAGAAGAGGAAGACAATGAGCTTTCCTCTCAAGTGATAGATGTAAGTAGTTTTTCTGCTTAATATGTTTTTCTATATTTAGCCTGTTTTTTGTAACTATTTTTTATTTTTAAGGGAATATATAATGGCATTATAAAACGTTTATTTCTATTTCATGTTTATCCAGACTAAAATATCCTAAAAGAAGCTATGAAGAGCTATCTTGAGAATCAGTTCTTGCGTAGTCTGACTTCTAACCAATTTACAAACTGTTTTCACAGTGAATGGTGTAATGCGATACATTATTAATTGATAGTATTTTTTTTTTTAATTTGTTATTGTTATCAATTGCTTATAATATCATTCTAATATTCATGATCTTTGCATTATATTATTGCTGTTTTAAATATTTTAACTGTATAAATTTGTTATTTTAATAGCTTTTTCAAAAAATGAAGAATTATAGAGGTTTAGCAGTGCAGAAAATGAGCATTGCACCTTTGCACTTGCAGTATATGACATATTCTTGTACCAAAATCTAAAAGTATTACATGCAACGAGAAAAATATGAAACGTCATATTGAAAACTATCTTGTATATATTTAATGTTTTTCTTTATTATAAGATTATTGTACAATAATAATGTTTTAATAAATATAGAATGATTTTAATAACAATGGACCCTCTTATAATTCGTTGGAAATGATTATGGATAAAGCAGAGATGCAGCACTGCTCTGAATCACAGGCGAATACTCTCGAATTAGAATCTAATACTCCTTCTCAGGGTAGTGGTTTTAGGGCTCTTCTTTCACAAGAAAATATAGATGAATTGTTTAGTTTCAACTATTATGCTGATTAATTTAGTTTTAATTAGTTATGTTCGTTGCATGTAATTTAGCGATTTGTATTTTTTATTTTTCAATTAATAAATTCTATTGCAATAAACTTTTTTTTGTATAGTAAAAAGTAAATATTTGATTTATTAGTATTGATTGACTAAATATAAATAATAAGTGTACAGTATAATAATATCGATATTGGTACAATTAGAAAATTCGATTAAAATCATTATACGTTAATTAATACGAATTAAGATTTATCTAACTCGATAGAATAGGTGGGATTACTATCGATTTTAATCTAAATCGATAGAAATCGGCAGGATTACTATCGATTTCTAGAGTTCTAATATCCAATCCGGATAACTGTCCAACCGATCAACCGAATCGAAAAAAAGTCAACTGGATTATAATTTTGCCAAACCGGTTTAAATATACTAACCGGCTTAGTATAACACAAACAGGTTATCTGTTTGATAAATGGTCACTTGTTGAAAAATAGTTCTTTTATTAAAAATATTATATCGATACTGCAACAATACTTCTATAGATAATCAGGTATTTGGATCACCCATTAGGGTTATCTGATTACAATCGGGTGACCCGTCTTTAATAGAATAACCGGTTTTAGTTTCGGGTAATCGATTATAATCAGTTTTTACCTGACGAGTTACGGTTAGAGATTTTCAACCTGGTTTGGAACCCTATCGATTTCTATCTAAATCGATAGAAATCAGTAAGGGGTTTTAAATCGATATTTATTTAATAACCATTAAAAATCGATACTAATCCCCTTGCAAATTTTCGTGATGAAGTTCCTCTACACAAAATCTTCCAAATTTCTCTACACAAAGTCTAAGTATTTTGGATACAAAATCTTTCAGGTTTCTCTCCTCCAAATTTCTCTTTACAAATAACAAATAAATATAAACAAAATGAGTAATGTTTATATTCCCCAACTTCTTCAACACAATCCTCCAACTTCTCTTAACACAATCCTTCAATTTTCTCTAGTACAATCCCAACTTCCTCTGCCAAGTGTTACTTCTTTACTGTATATTGTGTATTCTCTCTTTGGGTAAAAAGATATATAAAAGGTGTCTTTTTCCCTTCTTGCTAATATATAAGTTTCTACACTTCACTTTAGACTCTGTTCTCTATATACCCTTCTTATCTTGTAAATGTGGTATTCCTCTTCTAGGGTAATTCCCATAGGCAAGGTTATCACTGTTCTTGTATGAAATAAAGTTATTCTATATATTGTCACTATCTCGAACTATTTGCCTCCTGCTGTGTAGTTAAGTAAACAACTACACTTTCATCTCGTGTATATTTGCAAAAGTCAATCACTGCACTGGGTGACCTTGTTGTATAGCTGTATTGATTAAAAAAGACTACAGCTTTGTAACAATATATTTATAATTTACAAAGATAGTAAAGTCTAGTATATATGAAGATGCTAAGAGTACTGATATTTATTAGGTAATATTTTAGAGGGTGAGGAGTAAAGCCAAACCTTATCTCAATATAATACTAAAATTTAATTGGTTAATAAAAATATTACCTGGGGGAGGGTAAAGCTCTATAGTAAATAAATATTAGATAATAAATATCAGAGCCCTAATCAATTTATAAATTAAAACTTATATAAAACTATAAGATCTCTACTTTCATGTTCTAACTAAAATTCTATTTTCAATTGTAACTTATACAAATATCAGTTAGGCTTTTCTTCTATTAAAGTCTTAAGATATTTTAAATTATTTAGGTTAAACTAATCTGATTTTCTTACAAGTGGCAAAAGTCTTTCAATGCATCTATATCTTTGAAATTAGTTGAAAACTTAACTTATTAAAAATCTGCTAATATCTAAGTATTTAACAGTTGTTTGAATTTATAACTTTTCAAAAATTTTTTTAACTACTTTTTAGTGAATATGTTTCTAAAGTATAATATTAAACTAAAGTTATATCGATATTAGTTATCTGGCACAGGTCGAATGAAGACATACCGGACAACTATCGGCATGCCGATATAAACCAATAGGTTTCCGAAAAGACAATGGAATTGAACCAATATTTATAACAGATATCTGGCCGATTTGGCTCCTATATCTATCAGTTATTTGGCAGATATAGGGCATCTATCGGAAAGATTTAAACCAAATATAAGACAAAGTTAAAGCAACTATCAGTTAAATCAATATGTCTATAGATAATTTGATATATCTATCAAATGCTCTATATATAAGACTAACTGGTAAAATATCAGATATATATTGGTTTATTTTAAATGCTTACAGGTTTTCTAATATAGCTATTAACTAACGTAGTACTTCTTTTATTATTTTATACTCAATTAACTACAAGTTTTAATTAAACGTCACATTAAAGCAATTAACAACTAATATATTTATTATAGTATTAATACTAATAATTATATCGCTATGCTAAAAGTAATAATACATATAGAAATATTAACTATCGAACTGACAAATGCAATATAGTACTAATGTAAAATACAAATATAATTCTATGTATTGTTTTTATAAACTACGTTGCT